AAGATTTTATAAAAAAAATCCAAGAAATATGTGAAAATACCTTTCCAATACGATCTGCAAAACCTTACTTTCATATAAATTGGTGGACTAAAGAGTTACGCGCTCAAAAGCATAAGGCGAGAGCATTGAAACGGAAAATGAAATCGATTACTGACGATGAATTAAGACACCAAGCCTGGCTCAAATTCAAAAAAGAAAATGCAAACTACAAAAAGATGATTCTCGAATCTAAATTAAAAAGTTGGCACAAATATTGTTCAAACAATAAAGAAATTTATGGCACCTTATACAAGATCGCCAGTAGTAAAATATTTAAACCGTCACAAATCCAACTTCCCTCAAATTTGCTTTCAAGTTCTGCTGAAATTCAGGATGCCACTCTCTCAACCCTAAATGAGATTCTTGACTCTGTCTTTCTAAAAGATGATCCAGCTGAAGATTCGCCTACTCAAACCAGAATCCGTAACTGCGATGACATTCCACAAACAGACAACGATATTCCGTTCTCAAAACAAGAAATAAAGCAAATAATTAAAAACCTAGCTTTAAAAAAGGCACCAGGCCCAGATGGCATCGATAACCACATTATAAAATTAATCAATCAAGCCCATCCTGACATAATCTGTAGTTTTTGCAATCGATGTATAGAACTCTCTACCTTTCCTGATTGCCTGAAAATTGGTAATATAATACTCTTCAATAAGAAGAATAAAAGCTCCGATGAACCTAAATCTTATCGTCCGATAAATCTTCTCCCAGCCCTGGGAAAAGTTTTGGAAAGATGTCTTATTGGTCGTCTAAAATTTCATGTTTACAGCAAAAACTTAATAAGCAATAACCAGTTTGGATTTCGAAGCCTACTTTCAACAAGTCATGCAATTAATTCAGCTCTTGAACAAGTCAGAAACAATAAAATCAACCAACTTCATTCTGCAATAATATGTCTCGACTTAAAATCAGCTTTTGATTCTTTATGGTGGCCAGCAGTTTTACAAGCGCTGCGTTCCTTTAAGTGCCCTCAAAATTTATTTCTAATTATTCAAGATTACTTCAGAAACAGGAAAAGTATGATTCTTTACAACAACACTGAAATTGTGCGTAATCAAGTCCGAGGATGTCCTCAGGGGTCTTGCATGAGTGCAGATCTCTGGAATATCAGCTTCAACAACATCATTGCCTATCCATGGCCAGATCACTCAAAAATTGTAGCTTTTGCAGATGATGTAGCTTTTATTACAAGTGGCCGTACCAGAGACATTTTACAGAATAATTGCAACGAAACACTCCAGTTATTTAACCAACTTTGCAAAATTCAAAAACTACAAATTTCACATAGTAAGTCCCAAGTCTTAGTGATCCATAAACCAGGACAAAATATAACTAAAGCTTTAGCTCTAAAAATTGACAATCAAAAGATCAAATCTGTGAACACAATCAAGTACCTCGGTTTAACAATCGACAAGAAATTCTCCTGGATTCCTCATCTACAAAATATTAAACTTCGTACAACATCAATAGCTAACTGCCTACGACGTATGCATGGATATAACTGGGGCTTAAATCCCCATATAACACGTATTCTTCTAAAAACAGTCATCTCAAAAATGGTAAATTACGGAGCCGGAATTTGGGCACAACCAATGACAGTAAGAAAGATGAAATGTTTAAATTCAATTCAAAGGCCTTTTACTCTTTGCATTGCATTACTCGGGCGTATCGCACAACTTCAAATATAGCACTTGATACTCTAGCTGGTACTCTCTTCCGTTATCAATCAGTGCAGAAATGGAATGCACCTATATGAAAGTCTTCTTCAACTTAACCAAGCCGCAGAATTCAACAACCAAACCTTTTGGCCTTTTGGCCATCCAACTATGAAAGAAAAAAAAATAACCCCAATCTTATCTTATCCATCCAGCGCTTCGCTTCAGCAAAATAATATTCCCCACGTCTGAAGAAAATTCAAGTTCATCTCCAATTGCTTATACTGATGGATCAAAAATTGAAGGAAAAGTTGGTTCCGCAGTCTTTTTTCAAATTACCCCCTTCAAATTACCCCTCAAATATCATCAAATGGAAAGGCCATCCTCATAATAATAATAGTGTTTTCCAAGCGGAATTGTCAGCTATAAAAGCAGCGATTGAAATAGCCATTCTCAAAAATCTCAACGAATTTAGCATAAAATCTGACTCCCAAGCAGCTATTCTAGCTATTAAAAATCCCTTACCTTCCTCTCCATTGATATCCGACATAAATTCTCTTCTTGGAAAAATCCCAAACTACAAAATTCAAATTTCATGGATCAAAGGACATAGTGGCCATTTTGGTAATGATCAGGCAGATGAACTAGCCAAAGAAGCAGCTATTAATCAAGATGGTACTGAAATCATCATTCCGTGGCCTCGCTCAAATTTCAAGTACCAACTATAAAACAACTTGCTTCAAAATCTTGGCAAGATTTGTGGAACAATGCTCCACAGGGAAGACGCACATATAACTTGATGCCCAATGTAAGCTTAGCATCTCTGAACTCGAATCCTTCCCTAAATTACAATGTTATCAAATAAACTTACCTAAATAATACTTAAATGTTATAACTTTAACATGGACATGGACCCTTCCCCACATATTTCTACGCAAGAAATTTGGCAAATTCTGACATCTGTATATGTGGGGAACAGGGAACTCCTGATCACTACGTTTTCTCATGCCCCTTAACTGAGGATATTCACATAAAATCCCCAAGAACTGACCTCCTGGCATTCCAAAGATTTTTTAATTAAAGATAAACATCAATATCCAAAGTTTCAGAAAATTATGCAACGACTCTCTCTCTTCCTACGGCCTAGATCTCTGTCAAGTGTAAGTCCACATACAGTTTAAACTTAGTGAACTTTTACATGCTGTGATTATGGACAAAATGGACTCCGCTCGTGAACTTTATAAACTGCAATAAACCAATATATCTGAAATAACCCATGGACACCTACCTCTTTAGCATTATTATAACAATTCATTTAACATTGTGTTGCCAGTACTAATTATAATTATCTCATTATGTTTATTTTGTTTATTAATTATTATGTTTATCTCCTATTTTTGTTGCACCAAATCAGATGTTCAATTTATCTTGTGAATCTCAAATTGTATTCCTACTATTTTGTAATCTACTTATGTATTCCTACTATTTTTGTAATCTACTTATTATGCCCTACACCATTTTTTAATAAATACTGGATGCGAGGCGTACTGTCGAATTGCACGATGTACCATAATAGGCAAACTTTAGACCTTTTGAAAAGCTTCATTTTATGCAAATTCTTATAAAACTTGCAATTCCCCCCCTTTTTTTTTTCTCTCAAAGAGTTAGTATGGGAAGGCACTAGCAGTTGACCTATGGTACATCGCTGGTGTCCTCCCTACTTTTACTTTTACCTTTACCTTTACCTTACTGTTTGCTCCGATTGGTTAAAACAGGAAACGTAGGGTTACAGAATCTTGTGCTTGGCGACTTTTGCTTTATTGCCTTTACTATTTTTATATGAGCGTGGTGTACTGAAAAGTGTGCGAAAGCCAGCGGAGAAACCGCGGCTCAGCGGTAACGAGCACGGAAGAAATTCTCGAACTTCTACATCGTGGTTCTATACCCCTTCTTGACTTTTACAAACTCTGCCCTACACAGATTTATTTTTCTCCTAACTTTATTGAATGACTTTGTCATTACTGATCTTTTCCCCTTCGGTTGCGGTGTTAAAAATTTAACACCTTTATTTTCTCAATTTTGTTAATGCTAATTTTTCTTATTTTAATTTACTAATTTGTAACTCTGTAGTAGGTACCAAAGATTACGATCCAAGATCCCGAAGCGTTTCAATAGAAATAGCGCATAATGGAATAAAATATAATTTTAGTTATAATTTAAGTAAAAAAAAAAATAGGTATCCAAAGCCCTTAAATGTTTATTAAATATTTTCATTTGGTTTATTTTTTAATATTCCTTTATTTGTATAAATTAATGCGCTATGGAAATTTACACAACACACACTTTCTAACAGAAATGGCGAAAAAGTACATATACTATTTCCATGTAAACATTTTTCCTTGCAAAACAATTATCGTATTTTAATAGTTTAAATTCAAATACAAATAAACTATTAATAAAACCAGTAGGTTATTTAAAATATATTCTACGCAATTCCCCTTAGCTTTCATTTATAAAATAAAAAATTATCGAATGAAATAAACGCTGTTTCTCCTCGCTTTACTGAAAGCCCACAATTTTAATGTTTGGCATTAATTACCACGCCTAGAAGGCGATAACTCGCTATTCCAAATGTGACGCCAAGCAGATGTTTCATCCAATGAGAGCAGACCGTAGAAGAAATGGTCTGTAGACTTTGTGAATATGCCAGCTGCAGACGGAACATTTTTGGCGAAGTTTCAGAAAATCCCGCGTAGCCGCGACATCGTTTCCGTAGCCAGGTAGGACCTTCTATTCCACTGGAGCTGTTTCTTCTAGGAGTCCTTCCCTTTAAACCAATGCCACTAGAATCTCGTTTCTCAGAAAAGTCCCGGCTAGCGTGGATCGTCGCTAGATGTGATAACCTTTTTACAGGCGCACAAAATTTCAAATGATATTGAAAAGGAACCTTACTTACAATATACCCTACGTATGTTATAACTTTCCTTAATTTTATACAAACGGTGTTTAATATTTTGATATTTTTTTATTCATAATATACTAATGTCTGCCCTTTGAAACACACTGATAGTTTGAATTGAAATTATCTTCTTTCTTAACAGAGAAGAATTTTTCTTTTTTCTTGACAGGGGTAATTATGCTTTCATATTGCAGCTTTCATTTTGCTATATTTAATATATTTATTTATTTTGTTTTAATTAGTTCTGTTGAATTTTGAAGATAGTGATGTACTGAAATTTAGTTATTGAACGGAAAAGTGACAAAAAGTAATATCTTTTTTTTTTTTTTTTCACTTACCATATCCACTATCCTTCTGAGATTAACTGGAGCAATACCTCTCTGAACATCTTGAGTCCTCTGTATGAAGTCAACAACTGATTTTCCGTTTATATTCTTCTTCCAATTCTTCATGTGTTCTAGGAAAGATTTTCAATGATATTAGAATTAATTACACTTTTCTTTTAACAGTATATACAAGTATTTAAATGAAATGACAACTGTCGAAATAATAATAATAAATAAATAAAATAAAAAAAAAAAAAAAAAAAAAAAAAAAAAAAAAAAAAAAAAAAAAAAAACAAACCCTTTGAAAGTTATTAATCAATTATTAATCAATCTACTGCTAAAAATAATTATTAGCTGAAGTTTGTTAATAACTGGAGTACAATTTTCGTTTTATGGTATCTACACGAACAGGAAACCATTACTTGAAGGTTACATTTACTTGAAGGGTTATCAAAACACCCTGAATGATATGTAAGATCATTCGGAATTCCTTTATATATTTTTAAGAGAGAAGAATAAGATGAAAGAGAAAGAGAGAAACTATGATACGTAACTAAACTTTATTACTCTAAAATAAACTCATTCTTCCCCTCCCAATCCTTTTTTTTTTTTAATTTTTTTTACATCTTCCACAAAAGCTTTGTGATTCAGTTTTCTGGTACGGCAGACATCTCTGCGTAATTGGGAGGACTGAAGATTTACTCGGACATATTGAAAAGCTCGATGAATTAAAGCAATGCCAATTACTTTTTTCAGTAAGGTAATTGTACAGCCCTCTCTCATAGGAACCATTATAGAGACCATCTGCGACAGTATCTCAGAAAATATTTGCATAAAGGTAGAGGCCGTTTTCCAGACTATATCAATCAATTTTGAGAGTAATATAGGTAAGATGCACAACAGAGAAAGTAACGCATTGAAGCATTGGCCACTATTGTCTTCGAACTTAATACCATAATTTTTATTCTGGTGGAAATTCTGAAGTATATTGCCATTGTGCGTCCGCTATCTTCAGGATCTTCGTCATCCGTCACTGATGCTGTGGCTCTGATCGATTGTGATATACTCGCCACAGTTGAAACAATTATTGCAAAGGTGTCTGCCATATTAACAAAGGCACTCCAAATGTCCTCATACTTTGTGAAGTAGTTAATAAACTAAATATTTCGCAAGACTTTAATTAAAGATCTGAATTTATTAAAAGAAAAAATTTTTCTGACAACCATTCCCCCTCCCCTCCTCTCTCTTCGAAATACTTGTTTTATGACGTCAGATGGATAGCATGAAGTATTATCTAATTTAAAAATGTACACACTCTTTTCTGATAACAGCGCAAAGGTAGCTCGATATTCATACAGTATAATCTAATGGTAATTCCATACGTTGGTTCATTGCAACGTTTTAATAATGTTAGGTTTTCCTCCATGTCCAAATCATGTCCCAGTATCATCATTTCACCTCCGCCCCCTTTTCTGTTGGGTATTCAGTGGTCTATTCAGTGGTCTATTCAGTGGTCATCAGCATTCATCAGCTTTCTGGTCAAACCATACCATTTATATTTCTTACCATCTGGTGCAAATCGTTCATTAAGACCTGCTAGCATGAGGACAGTCTAGAAAAGGAATGGGCCAATCCGGCCCGTCGGAAGGTTCTATCCGGCCCGCGGGTAGAATTTAATTTGCCAATTCGAGGCAAATTAAGAGAAATATATATTTATGTATTATATATCCATCTCTTTTTCTACTTTGTTAAAATATTATTTTTTCTTTCCTTTTTTCAAAGGACTAATGATCTTTTTACTTTCTCTATTTTTGTTCTACAAAACATAAATCGAGGGAAATAGCAAGCACAGACAGCTTTCATTCGTTAAAAGCGGAAGTTCTTTGTTAGTTATAGCTGCAGATTGGCGCCAATAAGCGTCATCTCTATCTCGGGGAGCAGACATATGGGAATACAATGTAGGTGAATGAGACCTATTAGAAAAAACAATCTGTTTGCTGGGCAGCTAGCTAAACACTACTTATCTCATTTCTCGAGGTTAAATTTAGTACCTTCAGGAACTGAAGAGAAACTTAAGAATTATGAAGATGGCTTGAAAAAAACTGCATTTTGAGTTCGAACGAAGATTTGAAGATTTCAGTGCCATTCAAACAGAACTGGATATTTTTTACCATGGCATTCAACGTCAGTGAATGCAGCAGTGAGTGAGAAGCAGTGAGGTCAGATTTGCAGCTTGAATTAATTGAGTTGCGATCTAACAATCATCTCAAGCAGTTATTTCTAAATATGCCAAAGTACAGAGTTTTACAAATCATTATCGAAAGTACGTTTTGCAAATTTTAATATATCACGCCCAGAAAATAAGTGCTTTGTTTGCTTCATCTTATATACGTGAACAAGTGTTTTCAACTATAAACCTAAGAAAGAATTATTTCAGTAGACTGACAGATGAGCATTTAGCCTCGTTCCTTAGAATCAGTACATCTCACATCGAACCTCAATATAAAGAACTTTTAAAAATTAAATCTTAATTTCATTCATCTTATTAATATATTTAAATTGTAATACTTATATATTGTTTTTAAAATTTTATAAAAATGTATCTTGGCCCGCCAAACCTTTTTTTTTTTTTTTTTTTTTTTCGATTTTTGGCCCGCGACCGAAAACGTTTGCTCATCCCTGGTCTAGACTGAAGTTTTTTTACATCTGCAAAACAACCATTTTATCATTTATCCAAACATGTCAACCCACCATTTTCCTATTTCAGTGCTTCAGTTTTATGTTGTTCTTTCGCAACATTTCCTTTAATGTATATAACGTTTTTATTTAGCGCTTATTGGCAATTGCTTCATGCGATATTTTGATTTGACATGGAGAAAGTATTCAGTGGTCTATTCAGTGGTCTTAACCACTTGACCACTGGTGAAGCTGAATTGGATTGGATTGCAGCAAAGCATGCGAAAGCTATCTATTTAAGAGAAGGAATGCCTTCGTAAAAAACATTTGAAAGAAAATTGGCTTGTATTCACGCTACGCATTGGGAAAACTTTGAAAACTCCTATACATCCAGCACATTTACCAAGATTCGAACTTAAGTCAAATTGCCCGAGTTCATTGGTCTTACCGTTCGGCCTTTTTTGGGCTGGGAAATAAGCGAAGCTGATGAAAGTATGCCAGAAAGGAAAGAAGAAATAAAAGTAAAGACAAACAACGTTCCAAAAATCTCCCAAATTATTTTATATATAGGTAGCCAATATAGTTTATTTCGCAGAACTTCATAATTAAAACAAATCACTGTCAATCTTTAGTAAATACAGGCAACTGTTACAGAAGCTGGAGGAAAAAAAAAAAAAAAATATAAGATCCTTAAGAAGATATATCTTTTAATGCAAAAGCAAATGGTTGAAAAATATGTAAATAATCAAAGAGAATTTTTAAGTGAACAGTAATGTACATTTTTTCTTCCATGAAGATATCTTTTACTGAAAGCTGCGTAGATTGGTAAGGTGTTGAAGTAAGAGTTGAACAACATGGAAGTTCAATGGAACACAAATATCCATAGCAATATTCGTTTTAAGAAGTTCTAGTATTGATACAAACCTTGAAACTCTTTATTTGGAAGAAAAACTATTGCAATATTGGGAAAAGGTGCAATGAGGGACAAATTTATTTGCATTTCCTGAAGAAAATTGATATTTCGGATTATCAACTAAATCTAGTGGAAACTGCAATACAGAATTCGAGTTTTTAGGTGAATTTTTAGCATCTCATTTACGAAATTATGGCTCAAAAGGAAAAGTTTATATAGTATTTATCCCGTCTTCGTCGCATGTCTTTGTGGTGTAGTGGTCAGCACACTCGGCAGCGCGTATTCGAGAGGTCCGTGTTCGAGTCCCGGCAAGGGCACTGCTCATTTTTCATCTCTCCTGCTTTTAAAAAAATACCTATGTCTTTACAAGTTATTTAATTTAATTAATGAAATGATAGGAAGATATGGGATGCATTTTTAAAAATGAAGGTTAGAAATCAAAGCAATATGCCATGATTGTGAAATCCACACCGTATATAAAGCATGCTTATCAATTTGTTATCATATTAAGCTATCTGTTAGATAATGGTCAATGTGTACTGCGTTCCTTTGGCTTTTTCCTGTGTATCTGCATACTGGTGCATCAATGGAAACCGTGCTACTGGACCAACTAAACTTTTCAAGTACAATTATTAAAGACTGTAACGCAGCAAACATAGCTTGCCAATATAACTGCCCATAAGGCAGAATAAAATAATATAATGAAACAAAACATTATGTGCCTTGCTCAGCACATTCACTTATTTTATTTTGAAATAACCGCTACTCGATGTTATCTACAAATAACAAATTTGTATTTACTTGAAAGAATTTACACACTTTTTCTGAGTTATCTAGTCGTCGAAATGATTTGGAATCTATTTGTGACAAAATTTGTCGCGAAATTGATAAGAACTGTTTTTTATTTTAATTGATTATGGCAAAGCACAGTAGGGCTATCTGCCTAAGGGAAGGAATGCTTTCGTGGAGGACTTTCTAGGGTAAACTGGCTCGTATACACATTACACATGGGAAAAACCACGAAAACGCCCATGCAGCCAGCTCATTCGCCAGGACTCGAACCCAAGTCAGAATTGCCAGTGTTCAGCGATTTTACCGTTCGGCCACTGGTGAGCACTGATAAGAAGTATTAAAAAAAATATCCAAAAAACTCACAAATTTTTTAAAATGCAGAATTTAAGCTTTAAAGAATGCATCGAATTATACAATTGATATAAAAAACAAAGGTTTTTATTCAATGACATTTGTACTGAAGAATTAGACTATGAGTAGATACAATTTATTTTAACGGCGCGAAAACATTACTTGCGGCTCCCAAACGGGATGTACCAGCTCCTAAAAAATTAACACTACATCTTCGTTTACTAATACAGAAAGATTGTTCAAAATTTACTTAAATTACTTCGTTTACTAATACATAAATAGTGTTCAAAATTATTTAATTGCTGTAAGTATAGCAAAGAAGAGATATCTTTCTCTAATTTAAAATGATTTAGGAATTTATCAAGAAATTCTATAGGAAAGGAAAGGCTGCGAGGCATT